TTTAAAAAAAAATAACTCTAAGAATCACTCTTTTCCTTTTTTATAATATTTTAATTTTAATTTTTTACGTGATATGTTTAAGATCACAAGATTAAAAAACATTTTGATACATTTGACATAACTTTAATTTAAAACCACAAGATTAAAAAAATTCTTTCTTTTTTTAAGCTCCGTTCCAAATCAAACTAGATCATTTTTTTTTAAACTGATTGAGTATATTCTTTAAATAAAAACTATTCACAGTGCATAGTGAATATCTGAGCCAAAAAATTTCATAAAAAGTGTTTAAATTTATTCTAAATCTAGCTTCTGTACAAATATCGTAGATTTTATATAATATGTCCTCTATTTAAAAAATAATGACCATAAATATATTTTTTAGTCTGTTTAAAAAAATAACATTTTTCTCTTTATGACAATATTTTAACTTTAACTTTCCACGTAATATGTTTTGAACCACAAAATTAAAAGATATTTTAATACATTTCATAAAATTATAATTTAAAACTCCAAAATTAATGTTTTTTCTTTTTAAATTTTGTTTCAACTCAAATTACGTTATTTTTAAAAAAAAATTTAAATTGAGAGAGTAAAATTTTAGAAACTCTGAATCGATATGATGTAAATATCCTTACTTGAATGCGGCGCAGCAATGCTTGAGACTGTCTAAAAATATTACGTTGACACAATTTCCTAGATAAATGATGATCATATTGAAAAAAAAATGATGGTAAAAAAGGAGGTCTATAGACTATATAAAGGATGACAAGCACGTCATTGTCCTGCAGTAACAGTAAAAGTTTACTGTGGTATAATGAATCATTAGTATTGTACTATTTATCTCAAATAAAACAATTCAAGTTTTTACTTTTTTTTTATAATATATATTTCCCTTTTAAGTTCATAAACTCCTAATCAAAATACATAGTATTTGATTATTAAAAATATTGAGTTAATTTACACAGTATGAAATTTCTATACACCATTAGGTTATTTTTACTATATTCTATATGATTTAAGTCATTCTTAAATGTTACTGTCTCTAAATCTAAATAGTAAATAATGAAGATGCGATTTACTTTTTAAGCAATTGAATGTGAATAATTAAGTTTTACTTTTAAAATTAATAAATATAAAATTTAAATAAAATTAAAAAGATCTTTATGTACAAGGAGTTATCAATAAAATGACTTGTTTTACTGATGATATGGAGATGATTTGTGATGATGATTTATAGGATTAATATTTAAAAATTAATTAAATTAATTTTCTAAAAGCGAATTAAGACTAATAAAAATAAAGAAAGGAGTAGCATCCTGGAGAATTAAAGTAAGGCGTTCTGTTTACTGCCATTCATTAAAATTGGATGAATTATTTTCAACTTCCAATAAATGATAATAATAATAATAATAACAACAATAATAAAAACTACTCAAAATGAGTATCACAGCCACTTTGTAGTTATGGAAGTAAATGACAATCATAGTTATGAATGATGAAATCCTCGTGAGTTCCTCATTCAAAACTCTCTTTTTTTAATCATATAGTATTATACATATAGACAGAAACTAATAAATTTCACCTCATCCTAATAAATATATAGTAGCTGCGGCCGGTGTGTATATTTAAATACATAACAAATATTATATAATAATGTTGTGAAATGTAACAATTTTCCTCATGTGGACGTAAAATTATTTTTGGTTATATACTTTAATTTGTTTGGACGTTTTGTACTGTACAAATGGCATATCCAGCTCACTAGAGATAATTTGCGTTTGGGCCGTGGTCCAGTTTAAATGGACTCTACATATATTTGGACGAGGGAATTTTCCGCGTACCATCAATTAAAAATAACTTAATTAAGTTTTATAGCTATAATTTATTAATTACGATTCATAACTACATGTTAAGAGAGGAGAGAGATGAGCAAGGATGGAAGAGGGAGGAGAGAGGCGGGCTAGATTGGGAAAGGGAGAGATATACGAGCGAGGACAATAATTTGTATAATTCGCATCTTGTTGATATATTTCGTGGGTTCAATTGTATAATTTGTGAGTATTTTGTATAATTGAGTTATACAAATAAACATATGAACTTTAAACAGTTATACAAATTCATTATACACATTATAAATTATATTATACAAAATACAAAAACTAAATGCTTAGACAAACCTTAAAAGTTCATTTTTTTTGAAAGTATATAGTCATAAAACTTAAAAACCAAAGAAATCTCTGTCATATACAAATACAAACGAAAAACTGTTAGTTGCAGATTATTTAAACGTGACGAATTATGCATGTGATTAATGGCCACGTAATTAATGACCAATGTTAATTACAAATGATAATTATAATATAAAATAACTATGATAACTAATAAAACAATATATATAAGTTTATTTAATCGGGTAGATTATTTAACCGGGTAATCTTTTCTTTCGACAAAGTATATCATATACCAAAATATATTTTTATATTACATTAAACATAAACATTGAAAGGAAGAGACTTTCTAATTGTTACCATCAAAGTATCTTATAATTTGAAAAAGTTGAATGATACCTCTAAGTCTAAGTAATCATAAAATTGTTAACTTATGACCACTAATTTAAAGTCTTGACACATAGAGAGTACTATACTTGCTAGTTTTTATGTGCATTATAAAAAGGAAAGGCTTTTCTGGGTAATTTTATAATGTAATTATAAGTGTATATAATGTAACTTATTATATGAGATACATTTTTCTTTTTAATTTGTTAATAAATGATTTTCTTGAGCATCCGCCCATGTCAACAAAGGTCTTCAATATAAGCATTAATTTATTCAGATTCATTTAATGATCGAACTTTTTACTATCAGATTAGATCGAACGCCAACATGTAAGGCACCATTTGTTACTATTGGAATTAGGGATGGGCATAGCACAATATTTAAAAATTTTAATACCGTTGTTTTGGTATCTAAAGTGCTATACTATTATCATACTAAATTAGTTCGATGTGATTCGGTATATTTAATTTTGACTTTAATATTTTACGATATAATATTTGGTAGCATAATACTTGCATTTTTATTACTCTCCATACAATTCAATTAGCAAATAAGATTAGAATAATTCTCTTAGTCATTTAGCAAGTATTCTTGCAAGACCAATACGATTATCAACATGAGTATGAGAAATTCAAAAACACAAGTCCAAATCATAGTAGATTAACAACTACTCCTGTTAAATAATATCACAAAAAGAGTATTTCAATAACGATCGAATAGTCATAGATGGAAATGACATCATCTAAAATTATGTATAATTTTACACCACAAGATATATGTCAAGTTAGAGTCTACATCTTAGTGAATAATTAATATATTTATATGTTACAATAAAATTTTGGTATATTTTTTAGTTATGATATGATGTTCGATATATACCATTATACCATGCCTACCCCTTCTTGAAATACCAGGCCAATAGCATGCACAACAATTGACTCTGTTTTTGCGATCACTCTTACACAAAATTTAACCAAAATTCTTTATGTTAATACTTATATATATACTGGTTCTCGAATACGTGCAACATACGTATATTTTATGTTAAGTAATTTTTTTTAAAAAAATAATATAAATTATATGAATTTGAAAGAAAAGATTACTTTTTGTCTGATTTAAACTTCTGAGTCATTTCTTTTTGAATTTAACATAAATAATTAGTAAAATAGTATATATATATATATCGAATGTAACATGACAAACTATTAAAATCAATGTTTTTCTTGCATTGCAACTAATAACTTCAAATTTTGATTAATCCTCTAAAGTATATAATCTCATATATAACATTTTTTTTAAAAATAGTAATACATACACTTACATATATTAAAGTGTAAAATAAATTAAAGAATAACAAAATAAAGACACACCAATTTTAACTAATTAATCAACTTCAACTGATAGGTAAACTATAACGAAATGGTTCTTTGACATTGTTGTCTCAAATATGCAATCGGCTATAATTTGAATAGTAATACACTTATCTAAATTACTGTGCAAATCAATTGGAATTCCATCCTATACTTTTTTTTAAAAAAATGTTGTGTGTATTTATATAAAACTTAATAGAGTACGTGAAAAGTTTTCTAACGGATGAAAATTAAAAGAAATAACAAATTTAAAATTAATGGGATAAATGCATATATAATTATATAGTAAAAGATAACTATACCAAGGGCTTGACAAATTAATGAACTTCACATTAATGTTTCATAATTTCAAGAAGTGGAAACGAAATCAAAATATTGAATAGAGGACAACTTTAGAAAGATGAAAAAGATAGCAATTTCAAAATATTGAATATAGGCTGTTGTAATTTGAGTGATAATTAAAATATTACTCCTATTTAATTAGCTTGTGTAACAATTTAAATAATACTACTAATTAGATTAGTTATTTTTATTTATTAAATATATTTTTATTAAGTAAAAGACAAAAAAGTAATTCAACTTTGATAATCAAAATTCATTGAATTCCGAAATAAATATTAAACGAAAAAATAATATTTTAAATAATTTCAAGAAAATAAATTAAATTAGATATTTTAATTAAAAATTATTCTAAAAAAGTGGAAACATCATTAACATTTTGATAAACATAATATAATTTAAAATTTAAAAAATTAAATAGTTGAATATCTTTATAACATTTTAATTTACAATAAGAGTAAAATCGTAATTTAACTTTTAATTTTTTTAATTCCCTGACAATCGTCATTTTAAAAAGTACAACTATACATTAGTGATGAATTTGTTATGGAAAATACAAACTTGAATACATTGATTAAATCAAATGAAACGATCTAAGTACATTGACGGTATATCAATATTTTTAATCATAAAAAGTTATCTATAATTATCTTTCGTATAACTTAATTAGGTAAACATTACTTGTAAAATTTAAATAAATTCATACCAAGTAAAGTTGAGAAAATCCCTCTTTTCCTCTCAATCGAACCTCTTTCTCCATCACCAACTTTCTTTCTTTCTCCTACTCTACCGCAATCCATCTCAAGTACTGAGACATGATGGCATGTACACTTGAAAACTCGAAAAAACAAACAAACTTAATGACTGGACGTTTAACGTATAACAATAATGACATCCACTTCTTCTCAACGTGGCGTAAGCAATCTTCGCAGAACAGTAACTTGGTTATTTATCACATTGTTAATCATCTATCTTCTTTACTCTTTTAGTTTAATTCTCAATAAAGATTCCCCTGAATGTACCAATTCTGTGTCTTCCTCATCCGAGTTATCCACCAAAGAATCAATTTCGGAAAATTCAACTTCCATTTCTTTAAAGGAAAACAGAGGGGAGCCTGAAACAGGGCTGAAACACATTGTATTTGGTATCGCTGCGTCTACGAACTTGTGGGATAAAAGGAAAGAGTATATAAAACTATGGTGGAGGCCAGGGGAAATGAGAGGTGTTGTATGGTTAGATAAAAATGTTACAATAAAGAAGAATGAAGATTTGCCTGAGATTAGGATTTCGGAGAACACAACTAAGTTTTTGTACACGAATAGACAGGGGAACAGATCGGCTCTGAGGATATCCAGGGTTGTTTCGGAGACAATAAGGTTGGGACTTAAAAATGTGAGATGGTTCGTAATGGGAGATGATGACACAGTGTTTAATGTCGATAATGTGGTTAGACTTCTTTCGAAATATGATCATAATCAGTATTATTACATTGGAAGTTCTTCAGAAAGTCATATTCAAAACATTTTTTTCTCATATGCAATGGCTTATGGTGGGGGTGGATTTGCTATTAGTTATCCATTGGCAAAAGAATTGGAAAAGATTCAAGATCGATGCCTTCAACGGTATCCTGGATTATACGGTAGTGATGATAGAATTCAAGCTTGTATGGCTGAGCTCGGGGTTCCCCTTACCAGAGAACCTGGATTTCATCAGGTAACTAACTGTCCATTAAAAATGATCAAAAAATATTCTGTTCATAACCAAAGTTTGCATGCATTACTACAACTAAACTAACAAATTGAGATGGAGGGAGTATCATTTTACTGTCACGTCTGAATGGATTTTGACGATTTTATATTTTTATTTTTCTACTGTATAGTATGATGTGTACGGGAATTTGCTAGGCCTATTGGGAGCACATCCTGTAACACCTCTAGTATCAATTCACCATCTTGATGTTGTGGATCCTATAATTCCAAGGATGAGCAGAGTTGATGGACTCCAACACATTTTTGAATCAATGAAATATGACACTGCCAGCATAATGCAGCAGTCAATCTGCTACGACAAGCAGAAATACTGGTCTATTTCAGTGTCGTGGGGCTACGTGGTTCAGATCACCAGGGGTAATATCTCTCCAAGAGAATTAGAAATGCCCACAAGAACATTTCTCAACTGGTATAAAAGAGCCGATTACACTGCCTATGCATTCAACACTAGGCCTGTGACAAAGCATCCGTGCCAGAAGCCTTTCGTGTACTACATAAGTGCAGCCAAATATGATCGAAACAAGAATCAGATCGTTGGGATTTACCATCGTCATAGAGAGTCGTACCCTTACTGCAGATGGAAAATTGAGTCACCTGAGAGTATCAGTGCAATTGTAGTGTTGAAAAAGCCAGATGATAACCGTTGGCAGAAGGTAAATTTGTTAAAACAACTCCATTTCTGTATTGATGGAAAAGGGACCATTACTAAGTGGATTTTGTTCTGTTTTGCAGGCAGCAAGAAGGGATTGTTGTAAAGTTCTACCATCAAACAACTCCTATTTGTACATTTGGGTAGGCAAATGCAGAGAAGGCGAAACGAGTGAAATGTAGCCGTTGGAAGGAGGGAGGCTATAGTTTTTTCACTTCCTTCTGTTTTTTGTATCAATAGATGTTGATTAGGATAGGAAAAAATCTCTATTCAAAAGTTGAGAAACAGAAATGGTACTACTACTAGAGAGCTCATACACTAAAGTCTAGACCAACAGTGGCTAGCATTTGCAATACAAGTTTGACCAAATTAATGAAAAATTGATGTATCCTAGTTTCATAAATCATAACCTTCAAATGTTGATAGTAGTGGATCATTGAAGTGGACTTGCTACAACGATCCACTGAAAGTTAAACCTCTATGGATTCTTAAAAAAAGAAAAAGAGGAAATGTCAAAATGTTAAAGTTTTTGGTTCCTATGTGTGTATATGCCCATGCTGTCTGATAAATATATGTGTTTTCAAGTGACTTTGCAATCTTATCAATAGCAAAAAACAGTAATCCTTAAGATTATTAGGAACAAAGGGAATAGAGAAATGAAGAGAATGACTTCTAATTATAGTTGCATTGATCATTGGAAACAACTATTTGTGAATGTATTCATCATAACAGACATCTGTTTAAAGAGTCAACAAGCAGTCTCATGTCTCACACCGATCAGCCTCGATTACAATCCCAGAGCCCAGACTCGTGCTACTAGGTAGTTTTTTCAGTACTACTGTAGTACGTAGTCGTTTCACACTGAGATGACGGATTGGCTCTTTGGACTATAATAGAGTCCTCTCAGAGAAAGAGAAGCATCAAAAAAATATCCAGAGTTCACTTTAGTAACATCTTATCTTCTTTTCGAAGAAATTCAATAGAAGAAGGACCTCAATCTTCTCCTTTCTTTTGCATATGTCATCATCTGTTATGAAAATGTTACATTAAATTTTTTCAATATGCTTTTTCCATTCATTAGCTTAGCTAGCAGAAAGTAGGATTTTTTTTCTATAAATTTATGTGAGATCCATATCTTCCTTCTCTTTTGCATAGCTTTTGCGTAAGCATTTTGTACTACACTGGAATAGCTAGTAGGAAATATATGTATATTGGCTTTAATGCTAACAGTGATTACTTTTTCTCAGTATATCATAGAAGCATAGAGCTTTTACATATTATATATGCTATGGCGCTGGAGCTTGCATTTGCACCAGATATGCGAAGGAGGCATTGTTTCTTTTTTATTTTTATTACTTCCAATCTATGATTTTAAAGCTGCATCTGTAATGTACATATGTGACACAAAAAAGTAGACAACCACTTGTGTTTGTGTATTTTTCAGTTCTTATTTGAGTTCTCAAAGCTTTGTTGTATCGTTTCCATTCACCACATTACCAGGTTTCATCATCGTCTTTTATAGATTTCTGAGGAGATTGACTTTTGTATGACTTCCGGATAGGAGGCTCGATTTCAGGGTCATACTTTAAGGAGGCAAGGTAGCTCAAAGCAGTGACGATATCAACAATTGGAGGACGCATATTAGGTTGCTCCTGGACACACATTGCAGCAATTGCAAGAGCTTGGTATAAGCTCCTTATTGGATAGTGACCATCAAGTGCTGGATCTGCCATTTTGTAGAATTTCTTCCTGTCTTTGAATAATGGTCTTGCCTGCAAAAGCAAAATGCATATCAGCCAGAGAAATACAAATGTTTATCCTTAACAAGTCTGTTAAACTGTATTTCTCTAATCACTCATCACAACCATGAACTAGAAACACCTGCACATCACTGTGACTAGAATGCCAAGGCCAAGATGTTATTCAAAAAAAAGTATGACAGTACCATCTGATTGAACCCATGGATGAAACAAAAGGTTAAATGTAGACATCTAAACTCAATTTTTTTTTTGGGTAAGCACTGAGTTCTGGAAGTGTGGCTGCAGTCCTTAACCAAACCATAGCTGGTATATAGAAATAGAGGCATTTAGGACAGTGAAGACAGCACGACATCAAAATCGAAGGATACTACCCAACCAGTACATGACAATAAAAATGTACAAAAAAGAAAGGATGATTCTGGTAAATGCAAATCGACTATTCTAAGCAGAAAACTGTAATTTTCTTTTTGATGATGGAAAATCTCCAAGGGTGTGGGGCACAGTTCGAAACTTGGTGGATAAAGGGCCCATCCCTTACCCTTCTCCAATAAAATACTAGGCTTTTGCTCGTGAGGAAAAGAAGAGAAACAAAACTGTATTTTTAAAGGTTAAGAGCCTCTTATAACGTCCTCTTTAACCACAGACAACCTCCAATCTGATAAACAATGACTAAAGACTTTTCCAATAAACAATGATTAGAAGTAGTTTAGTGACATAGATTTTTTGGATCCATTTAGATGCAGAAATGAGAATGATGGTTAAAATCAGTTGTTAGGGAGGCAGGGATAAATCAGGTCTTACCACAGCATAACCACAAAAATATATCACATGGCAACTATAAGAGATCAAAGAAACATACCCAAGAAACCAGGTTTTGCTCCGTGGCAGATTTTGTATAGTCAATCGCTCTCCTGCCTGTGATTATCTCCAGAAGAACAACCCCAAAGCTGTAGATATCTGACTTGAATGTCAGTTGGCCAGTCATAGCATAATCTGGTGCACAGTATCCATATGTGCCCATCACTCTGGTGGAAACATGGGTCTTGTCCCCACTAGGACCTACTTTAGCCAAGCCAAAATCAGATAACTTGGGGTGGAACCCCTCACCAAGTAGAATATTGGAGCATTTCAGATCACGGTAAATAATAGGAGGATTCATCTTATCATGTAAATATTCCAGGCCCCTTGCGGCACCTGCAGCTATCTTCATTCTAACGTTCCAATCAAGAGGTTTTTGATTTGGCCAGGGGTCTACACACATTGAAGAAGCAAAGCAAATGTATCAGGATGGAGAAGGCTAAGATTTGAAGAAAGTAACATGAAAACTAGACAATTATAACATACCAAACAAATGGTCTTCCAACGAACCAAGAGACATATACTCATAGACTAATAGCCTCTGATCTCCCTCAGCACAACAACCAATTAGTTTAACAAGATTAGCATGGTCAGCTTTACTTAGAGTCTGTACTTCAACAACAAACTCCCTAACTCCTTGACATCCATTTGGATCGAGTTGTTTGATGGCGACAATCTGCATTGGAAAAGAATATTAAAGATAAACAGATTCAGGCCACCAATTATTCCTTATGTTAAACCACTCATTAACTTTAAATGAACCTGCAAAGATTGAAGGGGTATAAATTCATAAAAGGATGAGAGATATTGAAATAATCCTATTGTTTATTGAATACGTCAAGGGAGAATAACAAGTATTACAACAAGAATGGCGTCGAGCTGACCTCACCAGTATCCTCCAAATGACCTTTATATACTTTGCCAAAACCTCCTTCTCCCAAGAAGTAATCTTCCTTGAAATCTTCTGTTGCAGCTATTAGTTGATCGAATTTAAACCTCTGCGCCTTAGCACCACCTGTTTTTCCATCTGTGGGAGAGATGTTACTATAACCCCCATCTTTCTTAGACATAGATCGGTTTGCAACTTTAGCGTCTTCATTCTTCACAACTTTAAATTGACTAGCCACCGGCGTAACTACTGAACAAGATAAAACAAGAGGCACCAAAAAGATGGGAGTTAAAATAAAGGAGGCCTCATTTGAAGGAGGGAGAAAACGAATGAAAGAGCACATGGATAGTAAACAGCCATAACATAATTCTTAAACCAGCGAGATACTCAAATTTTGTAGTACAGAAAGAAGCCAAAAAAAAGATTCATACAGAGAAAGGACCAAACTTTATTTCAAGATTCATACAGAAAAAGGACCAAACTATTTGAAAAAATCAAACATATACAGAGAAAAGCCCAAAGAACCATGAGATGCTGTTCTCAAATTGTTGTCAATCCACTACACTTAGACAAAACCCTGAATCAGAAATCAGAATATTTATGCACAAAAAAAAATAAAAAATTTAATGCCTTCCATGAACATCTCAAAAAAAAAAACATCAGAAGTTTCAGAATCCTGCAAACATGAAAGAAAGAAATAGGCATAGAGCCACATAAATAAATGGAAGACATTATTTGCAAACATAAAACAAGGGGTCTTAATACGTGAACTTTTATCTTGTTGATAAGGGTTCTAAACCCCTTTCCTTATTTCTCCTTCTCCTACCGAGATGTCTAAAAAAAAACCTGAAACGAAATTCAATGCAATAAGGTAGACAAGAATGGCAATTATGTTCGGTACGATAGAAAGACATTTTTTTTATGGAAAATAACCATAAAATCTTTCATCAAACCATTATCTATATGGAAAAAGATTTAAAAATTTCGTAGATGCATGCAAGAATAATAATTCAAGATCCATAAAACAGGACACAAAAACAAAAATAGGTTTTGTAAAATTCAAAATATGATCAAATTTCAACAACCCCACATTGAAATTTTCCAAATGCATTAAAAAAGGAACAGTCTTTCCAAATCCAAAAGAAAAACCATCAAAAATTTCACCAAATCATTTGTAACTATAATAAAATACCTTGTTTAGGCTGTGGCTGTTCAACCCTTTTGTATTTATGATTACTAATAGTTTGAAATATTTTTTTCTCTGGTTTCTTCACTGATGTATCTCCATCTCCAGAACAAGGAAAACACCCCATGATTTTAATTTCTTCAACTATATATCTACTCTTACTTTCTTACTAACTATTTTTCTCTTCTTCTTTTTCTTTCTCAAATAATAATAGTTAATGATTTAAGAGTTACAAAACTCTCAGTTTTTTTTTTTTTTTGCCTTTAAAAAGAGAGAAAGAAGAGAAAAATGGAGAAAGTTAACACATAGCTTTAACCTTTTTTATATTAATTAAAAAAAGAAGCTACTCTTATTCTGGGGTTTTGTATTTGTGGTGCAAATGTGTAACATAATTTTTTCTGGTACAGCTGATCCTCAAATTAAATACCACGTAATAATACCTAGATTTTTTTGGTCAAATCATATTAGAAAGTCACATCAACATATCTCTTCGTCATTGCTGACTCATCAACAATTGCTGTCACATCGGCCTAGATCCAATTTATTCGCAATGAATTCATATGAATTTAGTATATTCAATATAAAAATATAATTATAATAAATTTTTTTTGATATAAGTATATTGTGAATTAATGCTAACAATCTTCAATTTTAAATATTGAATTCATAAAATTTAGTCTTTGTGTGGCCTTCTAAATTTAAGAAAAAACAATGGAACTACTGAAAATATATTGTCAAATTTAAAAATATAAAGATTAAATTAACTTATTTAAACTCACAAGTGACAAATTGTTTATTATTCTAGGGTAGGTTTTGACCAAAGATGTCATTTTCGGTAACCTTGGCTAAATATTAGGGAAAGGAACAAAATTGAAACTGAACACAACAAAGAGAGGCGAAAATCAGCATAGAATTAATAATATAAGTCCACCAGAAGAAAAAAATAATTTTAAAAAACCGATTGTCAGAATTAAAATTATTCTCCGTGTAGTAGAAAAAAAAACAAATAAAACTTGATCATTACCAAAATGTACGTGTTTTGTTTGATTTATTTTATGATTCGATTTGGTATTTTGGCTTATCTCCAATACTTCTACTCAAATTTCTTTTAACAAAATGTTCTCTACCAACTGTACTTCTTCATTTTCTATTTTGTCAGGAAAAGGACTTGTACATTACTATATTGATTTTTTTTATGAAAAAAAAACAGCCGCGGCACAGCTGTAAAATAAAAATATTGAATTCTGAGAAAGAAATAAAAAGATAAAAATGATATTCAATCAGCTACGTCTCTGGATATTTGGTATAGTCTTGTTCTGTCGATCCACCAAATCCAACTATATATTGACTATTTTAATTTTTCATGATAAGAAAAAACACAAAATGAATGAATATATAACCTACAACACACAACACATTCGAACCTTTTCATTCTTAAATATAATATTAAAAAGTGGATAAAAATGTTAAGAGACATGTTGTGAAATTGGTTTGTGAATTCGCAATTCATAAGTCGCATTTCTCAAACTATGCCCTTAATTTAAACTCAAAAGAAGACGATTACGAATCACCTAAACAACATACATTAAATTAACTTATATGGATAAGTATTATTGACTGAAAGTTGTAAAGGTTGTAGAGCTGGTGCAGCATGTACTATCTCATAAGGAGATCAGAGATCGATTTTCTTTGACAATGGTGGAATTTGTTAGACCAAACTTGCCAAAATATGATTTATATCTTTTATTTAATTTACAAATTGTTAATGCTGATTAACTGCAAATGAACTGACAAATAAGAGTGCATGTATAGTTGCGTCTAGTTTACAAATTTCTGATAATCAACATTTTACAATTGTAATTAAGACTGAAACAAAGGTGATCGTTTTTCTTTTAAAATTTGTTAGCAAAGCTAGCTACTGGGCACTAGTCAAACAATTAATCTTGAATTGTTGCAACTAAATGGAATGACTTTTTTTTTTATGAAAATGACTCACAACTATAATTGAACTTTTAAATGCAAAAGTAGCTATTCATATGCAGCGCCATGCATTTTGTTTTTTATTAAGTTGTTATTTTACGTATTTATAGATTTGAAAGATATTTGTAACACTCCAGATGTCTTATGATTTATTAGTGAATCTATATAATATTATTATCTCCTTCTAGATTTTTTCCCGACCAAGATTATAAATTTAGAAGATTTGTCACCCCATAATCTTTTTTCTTATTTTAAAAGAAAAAACGAATCTGAAAATATCAAGACATAAGTCAAAAATCAATTACTATTTTCTAAAATAAAGGAGTTGGTACCTCCAACTACTTAAAAATAAAATAACATAGCTACCACTTGATAGGAATTCAAAAAATCTTACTGATACAAACCACTTGAGAGCTTTTTATAATCATGGCCAATGAGCTTTGGTCTCACTATAGTGAATGTACTCTAATTCTAACCAGCTGTTGCAATTTGCTGGCCGTATACTCATTGTTGATATTGATACTATCTTTGGTCCATTTTATTTGTATTTTTAAGCACCCCTAACAAAAACATTTTGAAGCTTTAATCATATGGAGTATTAACAATGACATTCTGACAAAAACAGATATCAAGATCGTTTACAACAAGAAATGATCTGGAATATGAATCAACTGGAATCTGGGAGTGACATGTTAAAATGTTCATGTAACTTTACTCTCAGATCTAAGAATCAGGTTTGTCGCACCTGTTTCTTCAGCAGGTGCAGAGCTCTCACCAATGCTTTATTGCAAATAAGAATAAATTGAAAAGAAAAAAAAAATCACACGCCAAAAAGAGGCATATAAATGTCTACTTGTAAAGCTAGGACGACCACCATCTTCCTCATGGAAATTAGTCCGATTAACATATCTAAGGTAAAAACACGGTGACAATTTTACCAGATGTGCATCATAAGATACACTCCTTGCTCAAAATGTAGTCTACTGCTTCTTCCACAGTGTCAACAACCTGCAACAAATGAAGATCATGATTGGGCAATGCGTCCTTAGTGAACATCGTTATACTTGCTTAATGGCGGTCCATAAATGGACCATACTGAAATATTTGAGTGGATACCATCCAACCACTTATTAGCTATACAAATTAATTTTTCAGATCGAGTGGGTGATAGCAGAGGGTATTAAAGAGAAAGCAGTTATACATTATTGTATAAAAAAAAAGTAGATGCAGTCATAGGTCAAAGATGTCATCTACTCACCAGATCTGCTGGAAAATCGTCATGATTTTCTTTCCCCTTGAAGACACCAGTTCTTGTCAAAATAGAGAACCAAGGACTTCCAGCCTAAAAGGTAAGATTCAGAATTATATGCAGTTCATGAAATAGCTGAGTAGCAGCTTAAATAAATCAGAGAATAAACCTGTCGAGCTCCTTTGATATCAACTAAGGGGTTATCACCAATCATATATAAGGTTTTGAAAAGCTGCTTTCTTCCATCAACCTGATGGTTAGTGTGACATGATTGTAGAACATGCATCAGAACTGTCTCCGCATTTTTAAATACAGAAGGATTTGGTTTCCCATATGACGTATACTTCAGAGCAGCAGGATGGATACTGCAACAAAAACTAGTCTCAGAAGTGCATTACTACAAGGTGCAGTTTCTTTTACATCATCTCTATACCCATCTTAGAATGGATACTGCAACAAAAACTAGTCTCAGAAGTGCATTACAGCAATTATCAGATATTATATCAAGTCTCAAGATATTTGGAAATGAGTCTCACGCATTGAAGACGGATTCTACTGCAATTCTGAAAGCACCCATGCCAAGTCTTTCGGATGGAAACAAGGCCTAGAGTGAAAGTTAGATAGCAAAGGTCACATTCTCTATGAATATGTCAAGGAAAGCAAGGACAATCAGATCTATTTAGCATTGGAAAACCTGATAGGCAAGGTCATCATTTGCAAAAAAGAGTGGTGGCTGATGTGCAATATCTTTTCCTGGCAGCCCTCCAGTCCTTAGAATGTCACAGAGAACCTAAAATTGAATACTCTAGTTAAAATTGAAAAACTACAATAGGTGGAGGGAAAGCAAATTTGAGCACATTAATTTTATGTAGTAAGACATGGAGATGCATGCAAATGCACAAAAAAATCAAGAAATAAAAGGAACAGACAAGAGATTTCTTGGAGTTGGATGAATCTGATAGGGACTCCACAATAAGACTTCACAAATCAAAGGGAAACATAGATTATGAAATACAAAATACATGGAAAAAAATTATTGGCCAACTATTGAAGGATATATCTGATTGACAAGTTGAATCTGCAAATCACTAATTATAAAGAAGAATACCTGAATGTCCCTGCTCCAATCAACAGAATCGCTAACAACAAAGACCGCCGCCACTCTCTGCGAGCATGGATCATTGCTCAAAGCTATATGCTTAGAATTGCTACTCTGATTACCATCCAGCTTGTCTGTCCATTTTTTGTATTGTGCCAATGGGTCAATGTTGTCAAAATAAGATGCATACTCATCTATGGAGAGAACATTTCTGAAATTTAAAGCATAGTAGTATATCACTGTTGAAATTGTTAAGCATTTGAGGATTGCACTCTCAACCTACATCTATAAAGCGCAAAGCCAGGGAGCTTACTTAAAACCATATTCAGACATCACTTCAGCGGGTTCTCCTTTTCCAACAGCAACAATACGCTCATTCTCAAATCTGTTAACATGGATTTAACTTATTAAAAACAACCAAAGCAAATTTTGATCTTTCAAACTTGAGATTTCTTATCAACATAAACAGGTTTAGTTCTAGAAGATAAAGCCTTGTAACCTTATGGTATCATCCTGAAATCTATATTTGTAATATATAGGTTGAATCCCACGCTTACACTTTAGGCTCTTAACTTTGGTTGTTGTGCCTGTATCTAACACTTCTCAATTCTGATACACGATGCACCAACAAACACTCAAGTAGCCAAACAATAGCTTCTAGCTTTAGCAAGTCATTAAAATTAATACATAAAATCACATAATAAATGAGATAAGTAATTTCTGGTTAAGGCATTATTTCTTCATTCAAATTGAATATCCATACTAAAACATTTCTAGACATCCAACTTGGGACAGGAGAAAATTTTACGTGCACTTCCTAATTCAGCTCTATAAGACGAATTAAATGGATAACCATTTGCTAAGCTTTTTCTTTTCTTTCTTTTATTCAAACAAGACAGCCATTATTTAAATTGTTGTTATGTTGATTATTCATAAGTGATCAATTTATTGAAGACCTGCTGGTACTTCTATCAACTAAGCTATGTCCTACTTTCAAATATGTGGAGTTGGCATACTGGTAATCAAGCCACAAGCCTTTTAGATGCTTCCAAAGTTT